ACCTAAGTGTTGGAGGAATTGCCATGAAGTGTAAAAAAAGATCTAGGCTTTATCAGACAGGAGAAACACTACCCTACCTGATCTGTAGCTGACCGAGAAATTCTTTAACCATACGCGCTCCAAAATGGTCATGGATTCTCTTCTTGAAGATATCAGGTGAGGGGAATTCCCTTCCTCCTAGGGCATCCCTCTGTGGAGAAGCTATAGGAGAACATGTCGATGAGAAGTCATGGATGGCTCGCACTCCATGTCCACGTGGATGCCCACACAGAGCCATTGAATCCTTGCATATATGCCATTCCTGGGGAGGCACCATCTGATCATCTGGTGGAAATCGGCTCTGAGAATGCACATCCCACGTAACTTGGTGAGGGAATAAAGATAAGGAAGCCTGTCAAAGACATCAAGTTCCCCTGAGACCGAGTTCCCAAGCCTGCAGAGAATGGCCTCTCTGGAAGAGAAGCCTGTGACTCACTGTTATCCTTTGACAGAGAAGAGTTGGTTCTGCTTTGTTCACCAGGTGACCGAAGCCTGAGCTTTTTCTCTGTGGTCTGTAGCCCATGACATCACAGGATGTGCAGAGAGGAGGTGGCTACCTGCTGAGAGGGCCAGGAAGGCAGCCAGAGCAAACCTTCTGGTTTGGTCACCTGGGAGATGCCTGGAGCCCTGCTTCCCCAGTTGGCTAGCTCCTGGTGGTAGGGGGTACCATGTTGTTAGCCACACAGCAGCCTCATGTGGTATCCTATTTTGGGAAAGAGCAATAATAATAATGGCCCAGCATTCTGTGGCCCTTTAAGGTTTACAAAGCATCTTCCTCACAACTACTTACCTCTTCTGAGGGACCTTCACATTTTACAGTTGAGGAAACAGAAGTTAAGTGACTGGGATAAGATCACACAGCTGGTAGATGGTAGAACTCTTGAACCTTGTGTCTTCTGACTTAAAGACCAGAATGACAGAATCACAGGATTTGGTACCTGGAAGTAACCTCAGTGGACGTCTAGTCTAACTCATCCTCTAAGGAATCCTCAATGAAAAATCCTCCCTAAGTGGTTATCCAGTCTTGGTTTGAAGACTGCCGAGGAAGAGTGAAGCAACCTCTTTCCTACCTCTTGAAGCAACCCTTTCCACTTTGGGCAACTCAAACTGAAAGGAAGTATTTTTGTGACTAACGTGCAACATCAACGATAACAATGCTACTGAACCCTTCTTTATAACCAAACCAATTGCTGTAGCAGCCGCATCTGACAACACATGCACCATTATGCACCTGTAGCCCTCCACTTCTCTGCAGAGAGGGGGAAATGTCTCTCATTACCTGTCCTCTTTGACCAGGAGTTCTCCACCATTTTTGTATCGTGGTCTCCTCTGGCAGTCTGCTGACACCTATGGACCTCGTTCTCAAAAATCATGTTCTTATATAATTGAAAGAAGTACTAAATTTCTGTTGAAGGCTAGCAAAAATAAAGATGAATTATTTTTCCCCATCTAAGCTCATGAACCCCCCTGAAATCTATCCATAGACACCGAGGTAAGAATCCTGTCTTAGACCAAGCTTGGTCACCCTAACTCATCAGTTTATCTGCCCTTTAGAGTTGCTCACCTTCGTGGTATTAGAGTCTGCCTGGAGGCAGTGGGGCAGAGAGGCTAGAATGTGTTGGACAAGGAGTCAGGAAGACCCAGGTCCACTTACTAATGCTATATGAATCACTTTAGCCTCTCTGAGGCTTAGTTGTTCAGTCATTTCAGTCTTGTCCAACTCTCCATGACCTGATTTGGGGTTTTCTTGGCAAAGATACTGGAGTGGTTTGCCATTTCCTTTTCTAGCTCATTTTACAGATGAGGAAACTGAGGCAAACAAGGTTAAGTGACTTGCCCAGGGTCACACAACTAGTAAGTGTCTGAGGCCGGATTTGGACTCAGGAAGATCAGCCTTCTGACTCCAGACCCAGCACTCTATCTGCTGTGTCACCTGGCTGCCCCTGGGGATACTCACTTCACTGTATTAGTTCATAGGAATCTTCCCATGGTTCTCCTTCAGGGTTATCTTCTATTATTTTGAATAAAAATTGGATTCTAAGTAACTAGGGTTAGAATGTAGGCACTCTGAGGCCAAGGACTATTTTTGGCCTTTTTTGTACCTTCAGTGCTTAGCATAGTGCCTGACATACAGTAGGTGCTAAATAAAGACTTGTTGAATGACCAAATCAAAGGAATCCCTCAGAAAAGGAAGGAATCTTAAAAACCACTTGGTTCAGTCCCTTCATTTGACAGATGAGGGAACTGAGTCCCAGAAAGGTTAAGTGATTTGTTCCAAGTCATGAAGTAGTGATTTTGGATTTGGACTCAAGACCACTGATTCCAAATTGAGTTAGCCCCTTTTCCATCATGCCCTGGGTGCCCCACCCCCAAAAAGGGTCAGTGGATTTAAGATAAATTCTCAGAAGGGAAGGTTGGGCTGTGGACTGAGCACAGACTAAGGGAGCAAGGAACCTTAAAAAAATTCACGCTTCATTAAGCCTTCAAATCTTCCTCCACGCTGTGTGTTTCTGAATCAGACCAGTCCAAGAAGGGAAAGAATGAGATCATGTTTGTTTATGCTCTTGTGACCCGAGAGGCATTGTTCCTATTTACTTTATGATTTATTGGTCCAGGTTGGTCCTAAGCGCCTCCTTTTATGTTGTACGAGAAAACTGCCACCGTTGCTTGGGAAGGAGCCGATAGGAGGCGAGGCAATGGACCTGAGGAGAGGTGGGAATGCTTCCAAATGCTTAGATTGAATGCTGTGTGGAGCTCTGGGTTACTGAGTTAAGGAAGGGCTCAGGGATAGACTGAATAAATGCAACCTACAATATCCAGTCCCCTTTTCAGCCATTTGTCATCAACTTCTCTTCCAAAGGCTAGACCTGATAAGGTTAAGTATGGCCTTAGACATTTACTAGCGATGTGACCTTGAGAAAGTCACTTAACAGTTTCTTCAATGAAGTGGGGGTGATCATAGCACTTACCTCAAATGAGATAATATATGTCAAGTACTGGGAAGACCTTGAAAGGCTATTTTGTTGCGGCTACTCCTCCTCCTCCTCCTCCTCCTCCTGCTGCTGCTGCTGCCGCTACTGTACTCCATAGGTCTCCCAACGAGTGGAGCCCTGGGTGAGATCATAGGATGGTAGACAAAGAATTAGAAGGGGACTTTGGGATCAACAATCCACCCTCCTAATTTTACGGATGAGGAAACTCAAGCTCAGAGACGCGCAAAGCCTCGCACAGGTCACCCAGACAATGATGAGCAGAGCCAGGACTTGAAATCAGGTCTTTGGACTCCGAACCCAGCGTTTTTCCATTGCTGGCCTCTAAACCCACTTCCTATTGTGAGAGCCCTTTCACTGCTGGGACTTTCCTGACTCGGCCTCCGCGTCACTGCGTTCAGACCTTGTCTCCCAGAGTGACCTTGTCGTCGAACCCTCTCGACCTCGGGCTCCCAGCCCCGGCCCGTG